AATTATGACAGAAGCTCAAAGAGCCATTTTCATCTTTGCTTTAACAGAATCAGCTGCTGAGAGGGAAGACTGCCTGTGGCTGGAGGAAACCATCAGGTGTACGGCCGTACCCCGCCGCTCCCCGCAGAGCCTTCACGCCGCCATGCAGCTGGTCAACATCCAGACCCTGGCTTTTACGCCGTCGCACGCTCTGCCATGGAAGGTGTTCCTCTACACGCATACGCTGCAGCCAGACGCCTCCTGCAGCACGCTGGTCCTGGGCGAGCTGCTCTACACCGGAGAGGCTCATCAGAATCCCACAGCCGATGGAGAGCAGGAGGTTAAAGTCACCCTACGGCAGCAGCCGCCAGACATTCAGGCCTTGAGGGCGTTTCTGTCGATCCTTAGCTCCGTACTAAACACACTTTCCCCAGAAATTATTTAGATTCAGCTTTTGGGTCTTTGACTCTAAACCCGCATTATAAAGACGAATGTTATTGATGCCTTGGAAGGAGAGGAACCGGAGAACAAGGCCTGATTTCAACAGGATAAGAGGAAACTGCTCTCTGCTGATGGAGGCTTTGTTAATAATGATTCCTTAAAGAGAATAAAGAGACGTTTCCTTTGGTTCAACCTGATGATGAAGCAACAACAAAGGACTGATCTCTACATTTATCTCCATTTGGGGCTTAGATCAGAGCCAACATGGCAGCACAGACATGGCTGCTGCTAACGGCCTGGCAGGACGATGATGTCTGCGGCTTGTTAGGATCAGTGAGCTAAACGCTCCGCTCTCCGTGATCAAAATGTTTGCTGAAAGATTTCAAACAAACTTCATCTTCTGATGACCTTCCAGAAAGGAAATATCTATTAAAGCTTTTTTCCCTCCAATAAACATTTGAATATTTCTGATCATTGATTGTTAGTTTTTAAACAGTGTGAAAGCAGTTTAAAGCGACCCACACCCAGGTCCACAAAGTAAAATCCCTGCCTGGTTTTCCTTCATCCCGTTCACTGAAGCAGGTGATTAGTCTGCGTTATGGAGCTGGAAACGGATGGAACTGATCTCTGTACTTTCTGACCTGGATCATCCAGTCCAGTTTCACTCGACACCAGTGGGTCGGATTGCTACCTGACCGCAGGAATGAGGGACTATGAAGCGTAGAGCTGGACCACAGAGCCTGATTACTTTATACCCTATCGGATTAATCCATGTGTGATTTCAGCCTTTAGTTCAATAAAAAGAAACAGCAAATGACAGGAATCATTTTTAAAATCTTTACTTCAGGAATCCAACCTGAATTCAAATAGCAGCTAAATGCAGGCTGGGAACCTTTCTGGTAAAACCAGTTGGCGAGCCCTAAAATACAAACACATAACACACAACAAGCTGGAACAGCTGCCAAGGGGTGCAAACGCCACGAAAATACACAGCAGAGACCAACACACAAACCATTTAGAGGAAAAATCCAGAGAAAATAGTGATTCAAAGTGAAAACCAGGGAAATCAGATGATGTTTCATAATACCTCTGATCATAGAAAAGTTTCTGAAAATACGCCCAGCAGAGAGACTTGATCCACAGCTTATGCAGAGTCTAGGTTCTGTAAACATTTGAAGAGGCAGATTTCAGATGATTAAACAGAGAAACATATTCCTGTTTGAACAGGGCAGGGTTACCGTGGAAAGGAAACAACAATGAATCAAATCACTTCAGCCTGCAGCGACATTAATGATCCGTTCAAACAGAGACTCTGGAAACGTCAGAGTTTACAGCCAAACCCTTTTTTCCTAGAAGGAAGTAAAGCTCCCTGGCTGAGTGATGAGGAACCAAGGCCTCGTCCCTGAAGGCCATACGTGTGAGGAATCAATAAACTACCGGTCGGCAGCAGGATTGTTAACGAGTGATGAAGGATAGAAACGTTTAACCGGTTTCTGCCCGTCTGTCTAAATGATAAAGTCAATCAGATGAGGACGGCGCTCAGATGGGGGCTACTGTCATCCTGCTGCTCACAGAAGGGGAACAGCAGAAGTAACCTCTGATACGCTAATTCCATGCTAAAGGATTTTAGCTCTAATTTTAGCCAGAAATAGCTAAAAATAGCTCTAATGTGTGCAGAAATCCATGATCGTCACAGCGCCGACTGCCTTCTCTGATGACACTGGGTGTGCTGAGGCAGGTGGATGATGGCCGCTAACTGCAAGGCTTATATAACTAACCCTAACCAACTGAATCTGACTGCTTTTATAACGAGGATTATTTTAACCAACTGCAGGAATTAGGCAGGAGCAGCGAAAGCTGTCGGTATCTGGAGGAGTTTTGTTTTAAACTCAAAAGCAACAAAGGAGGAATGAGGAGATCAGGGATGAAAGCAACACTTTTAACTTCAGCACATCTAACTTCCTATTTCTTTACAGATGTAGTTCCTAAACGCTTCGATAAAACTACCCTGTAATAATAGCAGCAGCTGCAGTGCTGCCAGTGAATGAGTTCAGGTGGTCCTCTGCTGCAGGCTGGACGGGACAAACTGAACCACGTCTGTCGTCTTTTCAGGTTCCCCCTCTGATGAAAGCAGTTCTGTGACGGTTGGTCTGACAGCAGCAGCTCTCATTGTTCATTCATGGGAAACTTGGCTTCATTTGAACCAAAGTGACGTCTGCTAATGTGTTCTAATGATTCTAAACCTCAGCTGCCAAATTATGACCTCTAGTTAACAAAGATTTCCCACTGCGTAAGGTGTAAATTCATCAAATGAAGACAAATGAAGAAGTTTCCACGTTTAGAATATGTTAAAGTTTAACAGGGAGACACACCTGTTAGCCGTTCTTTATGCAACCCTTAGCTTTGCTGAAGATGGACTTTCACCTGACGGTTATGGTTTGACCTTTAGTAATAAATCAAATACTTTTATAGCTCTGAATCTGTTTTTCTTATCAGCACAATTGGAACAAACCATCTTTCAGTGTTGATGTTTATGTAACGGTTTGTGATTTAGACTGGAGGGATTATAAGCCTTTTTTTTCTCCATATTTCAATTAAATAAATTACGGGGGCCATCTTGGGGAGGTCGACCTGCTCCCCTAACCTGCTGCTTTAAGCCGATCAGAAGAAGGATGCCTCAGCACTGCAGCGTATTTTAGTTTAAATCAACAGACTGATGACATCAGGGATGGAGGGAGAACTTTGTTATACCATCAGAGCTTTGGAGACATCACTGAATAAACAGCAGATATATACTACATAGAATAGAAACTCCTTTTATTGTCCCATAGTGGGTGTATTGTGTTGTTACAGCAGCAAACGTGCATATCTATATAAATCTGTTTCTGTATATAGTAATAAAAATGTCTGACTGGTGCTTTGCAACATCCATCCTATCAGAATATTCGATTACTATATTAACTAAGAATATTTTTATAAACTGAACAAAAAAAACCTGCGAAAATTTGTTCAATATTTAGAAAGTTAAAGTTGATTAAAATTGATTCTGTTCCTGTTCAACATATTACACTGAGCCGAGCTGTCGACCTCCCCAAGATGGCGGCACCATATGATGGGAGAAAGCAGTCAATGCAGGGGTCCACTCTTATATTATGGCTGTGGTTAGGGCAAAGAGCTTGGATCCCAGAGGTTGTGAGTTCGAGCCCCATTCCCACAGACTGCCACTCTGGGTCCCTGAGCAAGACCCTTAACCCCACACTGCTCCCTGGGCGCCGCACCCTGGCAGCCCAGCGCTCCCCAAGGGGATGGGTTAAAAGCAGAGAGGGAATTTTGTTGCTCTGGATTTCTGACAGTGGAAAGACAATAAAGTTTAATTTTATTCTAACTTCTATTGCTTTAATCCGTTTTTGGCTGTGGACTCTGGGCGCCGCGTTATTAACTGCTGCCTTTGACACAGTTGACCATAAAGTGTTCATTTCTGGTTTGGAGCAGTGATGGGGAGTCAGCGCCTTACTCATCCTATTAGGCTCAGCCAACTTTCTTAGTAAAAGCGGGTGAGTCTGCCGCTCCTCTCCAATACGGAGGCCCTCAGGGGTCAGTATCGGGCCCCTTGCCCTTCTCCTCGTACCTTCCTTCTTTCTTGTCCTACTTCAGGAAACGTTCCCTCCAATGTTACCCAGATTACCCCACATTTATCTCCTTCTTTTAAAAAGCCAAGAGTTTCTCCTCAGACTCGTTCAAATGTCTCCATGTCATAAGATCCTGGAAGGACTTAAATGTTTTACATCAGAATGAGCAAGAACCAGGTGATGGTTTTCATCTACATACATTCTCTGCTTTAACATGTTAAGCCTGTTATCTGGGATTTAACCTGCTAACCAAATCAACCTTTTTTTTTCATTTGAGGCAGTTAAAGTTAACCCTTCATATCCAAACAGTGATGTTGTAATCTGTGTTTGTAATCTGATGCTTCTATCAGGCATCTGCAGGTTGTGCAAAATGCTGAAGAACAACTTTTAAGGAGAAAACCAAAATGTTGGAGCACATTACTTATCTGAAAATCTCTTCCTTGGTTGCTGAATGTTAAAGGATCAGTTTTAAATGATGAATTGCTTTTAAATCTCTAAATGTTTTTCCCTCCTTTATCTCTGAGCTGCTCCTTTAAACCTCCTAAGCTCTGCCAACCAGCAGCTCCTGCTCCCTGAATGAGAAGAGGAGCTCTCTATAACTATATATATAATTATCTTCCTCCTTTCTGAGACTTTTTTCATTTTTCTGAGGTATATTGTACCTTATTTTTATTTTACCTTCTGTTGTAATTCCTATAATTAATTTTATTTTATTTACTTAATTAATTGTAACTATTTGACATTTTTTAACTAATATTTTTTTCTTTTAGCTTGTCTGTTATAGAGGCGTGTTTATTGCACCTTCATGACCTTTCTTATTTCTATAAATGCAGGGCTATGGAATCATTGAAAATGTTCGGTGTTCAGACGAACTTGGTTACCCGACCATTCGGTGACAGATGTGTCACTGCGCATGCGCAGACGGCGCGCCGCCCTGTAGTGCGCAGAGGAAATGAGCCTCCCAGTTGGTCTCCGCCACCTGATGCTCCTCACACCGAACTCCGGTACCGGCGGCCAGAGGCGCGGAACTCACCGGTTCTAACCGGTTCTGGACCTTTTCTTTGCGGCCTCCTCATGTCTGCTAAGCGGCGTCCAGCGGCGGACAGACGTTAACTTTAGACGTCGCTCTAAAGTCCCGGAGAGTCAGGACGGTTCTCAGCGGTAAGTCTGGCTGCGTGTGTCCGCTAACAGTTGCTCCTCTGTCGGGTGGAAACGTTCAGCTGCTCCGGTGGAATAAACTCCTCCGGTTCTCAGAAGGACGGATAAATCCTGAAAACACACACAGCTGAAATAAAGCCTCCATTAAATCATCCTGAGAGTTAAAAAACTTTTCCCTGTTTCTCTCCTTAAAACTAACGCAGAGTTTATTCAACGAAAATAAAACAAATTTGTTTCCAAACAACTTTGTTCTAATTAGATTTTTTTCTTAAATGTTTTTAATGTAATTAGATAAGAGAGAAATAAGTTGTTGTAAATATGCATCATTTATCATGTGTTGTTTTGTGTTTAAATTAAGGCTCTAATAAATAGGAATAAAATCCCCCCTGATAATACTTGATTATATGAAGATAAAAAAATTAAAAGTAATCAAATGTTTTATTATTAACAATCTTCAGTCAATCAACTGGTTTTCCTTAGATAGAAAACTTTGAATCAATATGACTTTATGATCCGGTTGAAATATAAAATGCCTTGAGATGACTTGTGTTGTGAATTGGCGCTATAGAAATAAACTGAATTAAATTTAATTGAATTCAGTCTCAACATTAAACATTTGTTGTTAAAAATATCACAGATACCAGTTAAAAAATCGGAGAAATAAATGCAAAATAAAAAGCATCATTTAACAACATTTAAGGCGTTATTATAATATAAATACATAAATAATCCATAATCTTATCCCAGCTGTGGTGGTGAGGGGTGCTGGTCCCTATATCCAGCTGTCTACTGGGGAGGGGCGGGGTCCATCCTGAACGGAGGGGCGGGGTCCATCCTGAACAGAGGGGCGGGGTCCATCCTGAACAGGGGGGCGGGGTCCACCCTGTAGAGGTCACCAGTCCATTGCAGGGCAACACAGAGACAAACAGGACAAAAAACTATTCACACTGGCATCTAAGGAGAATTTATAGAAGCCAGTTAACCTAACAGTCATGTTTTTGGACTGTGGGAGGAAGCCGGAGTACCCGGAGAGAACCCAAGCATGCTCAGGGAGAACAGAAAGACCCAGGGCCGGGAATCAAACCCTGTAAGGCAGCAGTGCAGCCCATGTAAATAATCCATCGATGTAAAAATTTACATCCGTCACTCGTCTGTCTCTGGATGTTTGAGTATCCATGTTTTTCTCCTCCTCTCCATGTCTCTGATTGGTCGGCTTTAACCGCTTTCTGCTATTTTCTGTGACGTTTTACTGAAATCTGCATTTATTAAGATGCTTTTTTTGGTTCATTTTTTTCTTTTTAAAATAATAATTACATCATGCTTAGCTGCGCTTTCCCAACATGTGAGGAGCTTGAGTGACATTCGTAGCAAACTGGGCAGCTAAATTCATCCCTATCCACGCAGAGATTAGTGCTCTGAAATATTAATGAACCTTTTGAAAGATTTTTTTTCTCCTGATCAGACAGCGAGTTCCTCTCATGATGTAAACTAAAGGATCAGGCAAATGATGCCCCATCCAGGATTCTGTTGGCTTTTCAATCCCTCCAGAGGCCAACTAATGAGAAAGTGAACATAAGATATGAACCCTAAAAACTCTATAATAGATGGAATTTAACTCCAGGACTGTTTTATTGTCCTATTCCCAGTGCAGACAGCGGCCTTCTCTCCTCGCTCTGGTGCTCTCCTCCCTGGCAGACTTCTAGGATCTCCTGCAGTCCTCCCTCTAGTAGTTAGCTACTAGCGGCTAGCCACTAGAGGCTATCTGAGGCTAGCTGGTCAGCCGCTGCCTCATTCTTCCAGGATATCTTCACCTTCAGTGCTCTGTTTGCCCAGCAAGCTTTGCTGATCTACCGCTGTGCTCCGCCTCTTGAATCTCCTCCGCCTGCGGCGCTACGTCTGGCTGGCGGGGTCCTCTGATCGCCGGTTGCCCCTTCTTGGCGCTCTCTCTGTTGGTGTTCTTGCACTAATTTCCGGCTGCTCCTATCTGAGCCCCAGAACGTCATCTGACCTTCCCCTTGTTGTCCGGGTGATTTTTTTCCACCAACGCGGGACAGTGACGCCTCAAACTGGGTTGGATATGTGGAAGTAGCGCTGAAAGCGATGTTAACTGTAAACATCCACAGTAACCTGGACTTCCTACCCAGAACCTCTTCATGAGAGGCGGAGGAAACTTCTCTCTTCATAGATCCTTTCTGCAGTTAGCAACCAGCTAGCAGAGCAGCCGACGGAGAAACTTTGTAGCAGGAAGTCGGCGCAGACGCAGTTTATGGATCGGAAAGGTCTGTGGATTGGATCGGGATTTTCCGATCTGTAAATCGGATCGGTTTGGATTGGATCGGATCGGACTGGATCGGCCCCTTCCCTGCTGTTCAAGTCAACAGACATGAAGAAAAATACTGAATGTCAAATATAAAGCCATTTTTTTTTCCTGTTTGCTGAGGGGCTGTGATCAGTAAAACTAAAACATAAAAAAAATTCAGACGTATAAAAACATAAGAGTTTGTAAAAATGATGGTGGATAACTTTAATTCCTCGTATCCTTTATCAGCTTAAATCAGATTATAAACCGACGATGCTGTGAAGATTACTGCCTGTCTGACGGACAGGAATTCATGCAGCCTGGAAAACCAGCAGCCGTCCATCCGGCAGCAGTCAGTAACTGGAATGGGTGGGGCCCACATGGTGGGGGGGTTCCTCTGGGTTGGTTTCAGAACAGATCAATATTTCATATTCCGCCTAAACTCTTAAAAACTGCCACCTGTGAGGCGCAATCTGAGCTTTCGGTTCCTTATTGAAACCAACTGTTGGCCCCTGAAGGCAGAGCTGTGGCATCCAGGCGGCGGGCTGACGCTGCTAAAGCTCTCTATGACGTTCAAGGACCAGATAAAATGCCGTGGCGTGCCACATTCGGCCCGCAGGCCTTCAAGTTAACTCAACAATCCAGAGAATTGATTTAATCCTTATTGATGCTGCACAGCTCGCTGCTCTTTGTCAGGTTTCTCCTCAGACATCTCTGAGAAAGGAGCTGCCAGAAAGCTGAGCAGCAGCCGGCATGTCGCCGCCCGCCGAGGGACACCGGAGACGGTTTCCTACGGGGTCGGATAAGAACAGAGGGAGTCCAACCATCCGTAGATAAGAGGACACACATATTTCACATGTTTCACAGCAGAACCTGCTGAGTCAGAGACTCATCACACCCTAAAGCTGCATTGAAGGATTCTGGAAAAACCAGAAGCAAAGTTGGATCTAATCTGGAGGTTTATGAGGTTGTTAGAAGCATAAATTGTTTGAAGGTTGTTAGAGTTTATGATTTGCGGCCTGCTGTAAACCAGGGAGAGGAATCTGAGTAGTGTTTATTGAGGAGTGTCCTGTTGATTTAACCTGGAAAATATAGATAAAATGCATTAAAAAAATCCAGCAGACTCCAGGTACCAAACAATTCAACTAAATTCAGCTAATGATTAAAATACAAAAACAGGCTCAGGCTCAGGTCCTTCACTCACTCTTTACCCAATGGGGTTTAAACAACAAGCCCCGCCCCCATCTCAGTACTCATCCAAACATCAAGTCCCTACCTGTCAGTGTTTATTAGCTTTTTCTAAACAGATTCCAGACGTTCCTGCATTGATTTACACTCACCGGCCACTTTATTAGGTACCCCATGCTAGTAACGGGTTGGACCCCC